CCCCCCCCCCCCCCGATCCCCACCTTGGGGGCCCGCGAGGAGGTTTATAATTAACTCCCCGCACCCTGCACGCCTTCAAGGGTCATTTGCATCACGCCGCAGCGTGTAAACTTCCTATCCCAGCTCCTAATTAGCGCGCTGAGACGAAGCAAAGCCCTTGAGAACGAGGTGGTTTATTCTTTTTTTCCGGGTGCCGCAGCCCCGGAGCGATGTGGGATGCTCGGGGGTGGTACCAAGGAGGATGGGGGGGGTCCCAGCGCTGCCTGTGACACCTTGATGCCCTTCTCCATCCCTGAATGAGCCCAGAATTATTCCAATTCCTTGGTGTGTTCCTTAAATCCACCAAATTTATCCTAAAGTCAAAGAAAAGGGGGTTATTAGGGGAGCGCTCGGCCCCCGGAGCGGCGGAAGCCGCTCCGGGGGCCGAGTGCTCCCCTAATAACCCCAGTAGTGATGTGGAAATCAGGCAAAAAAAGCCATTTTCACCAATTTATGGGGATTTTGTTGCAAATCTGGAAGCTGGGGGTGGCTGGGTAGGCATGGAGAGGGGTAGAGAGCAGCCAGCACTACCCGCTGTTGGCATTCGGGAGCTTCCCAAAAGCATTTAGTTGGAAAAAAATCTAGATTAAAGCAGGAGAAAAAGTTTCCATCCCATTTTTTTTTACAGGGAGAAGCAGCTGGGAGGGGAAAATCTGAGGAGCAGTGAAATCTTGGAGGTGTTGGTGTGTCTGGGGGGGGGAGGAACAGGCCAGATGCTGCCTCACTGGGGCTGGGAGGGCAACGGGGTTGAAATGGGGGGTTTAAGGACCACCAGGGGCCACATCCATCCTTGGCTGGTGCTGCCTTGCTCCCAGCTGGGAACATGGCCCCCCAGTTCTCACCAGTCCCCGGGGAACGGCAGCACTGGGGACTCGTGGTGGGAGCAGCATCCCGAGCCCCGGCGCAGGGAAAAGTCAAAGTTTACCAGGGTTTCTGCCGGGGACTCCACAAGCCCTACTGCTTTTTATAGGTTGTTTAAACAACTAACCAGTATAAACCAGAGCGGGGCCGGCAGCGCTGGGAGTGGGGAAGGCTGGGGGAGCCTCCTGGGAAGGAGGAAAGATGGGGTGCTGTGGGGGTTTGGGGATTGAGGGCACATCAGGGTGCTGGGGACACGGGGGCTGCCATCCCCCCTCTCACAAGCATCACAAAGTCCTGGGGGGCAACTAGAATTTATCTCTCGACCCCCATCGTAGCGCGGGGCCCAGCCATGGCATTGCTCTGTGCCCCCCCTCACTGTCCCCCAGAGACAAATCCAGGCTCGGGCTGGGTTTTGGGGGGGACCCGGCCACCATCCAGCCCCCGGTTCTGTCCCACTGGAGGTGACACAGAGCGAAAGTCCCGCCAGCGCCCGGCGCTGCCCCGGTGCCGACGGGCCAAGCGTGGCGAGGGGCGGGGGCTTTTCGGTTCCAAAATGACTGTGTGGAAGGAGGAAAGATCGAAACGGCTCCGAAAAAAACAAAAACCAGGCAGCTCTTTCCTTTGGGAAGACGGACGGACACACGGACACCCAGCGCCCGGCGCTGCCCCGGTGCCGACGGGCCAAGCGTGGCGAGGGGCGGGGGCTTTTCGGTTCCAAAATGACTGTGTGGAAGGAGGAAAGATCGAAACGGCTCCGAAAAAAACAAAAACCAGGCAGCTCTTTCCTTTGGGAAGACGGACGGACACATGGACACCCCCCACCCCCCTTTCTCTGAGCCCAGATCATCTTTTTTTTGGCTCGGTGACGGCAGCGGCCGAGGGAAGAGCCACGCTGTCCCCGTGGGGCTGGGCCACCCCGAGCTGCAGCTGGGCATTGGTACGGGAAATGATGCTGGTTTTGCTGCTGGGGGGTTTGCTGGGGGCAGCCAGAAGCTGTGGACGACTGGCCTGAGTCCATCCCCACGGCCCGAGTCCACCCCCACGGCCCGAGTCCATCCCCACGGCCTGAGTCCATCCCCACGGCCCGAGTCCATCCCCACGGCCTGAGTCCATCCCCACGGCCCGAGTCCATCCCCACGGCCTAAGCCCATCCCCGTGGCCTTAGGGCTGCCCGGTTTACAAACACCGCTCGTTCCTGACAATCCTGCTGTAATTTTTGTAAAGAGGAGGAAAATCCAAAGGTTTTCAATACACTTGGTTCCCCCAATCCATCTGGGCACCCCCATGGCAGCCTGTCGGGCCAGACTCTCCATCCCCCTCGCTGCCAGGATGCTTCTCCCCGGGTGTCAGCAGGAACCTCCATCCCCTCACCCCACGCAAAGTTTCCCCACTTTGGGGATTTTCCCACTTCCCAAAGACTCTCAGCACCGGGGTGTCATCACTGCCCCGGGCTCGGAGGCGAGCGGGACCGTTTGCCGTCCTCACCCAAACCTGGGGCCTCCGTCTACATCCCAAATCCCCCCCCCCC